TCAGAGGAATCTGGAGTTAAGCCGAAATATTATGCCGACTGTCGATTCCCCAAAGGAAACAACAACAGCATGGCAGCCTACTTCAATACAAAAGTACCACATGGCGTTTTCAGCGATAACAGGCTTCAATTCATGCCGATATGTATTATGAAACAGAACGTGATATCTCTTAATATCGAGATAAGCAGTGGTTGCGAAAATTTCTTATAACGGATTAATGTATCATTTCGAATTTCATGCATAAAATATATCTCGCCACGGGTATCGAAACCCGATATTTAGTATTACAAGCCTTCAGACCTACCGCGAGCCACAAGAAAGACATAAACATTCTGAAAAATGAGAAAAAGTATTCTGAAAGTGAAAATATGACAGAAAACGATATTTTCTGTTCACCGAAGAAAGCAATAAAAAAGAATGGATTTTAGATATTATTAGATCTCAAATGAAATCCAAAACCATTTCATGTAAAGCTTTCACATGTTTTCTCTACTAAAAACTAATATCCTTTTTAAGTATTCTGAAAATAAGTATAAGACTAACAAATTTGAATTATCTTTTGACCAGTATGAAGTAACACAGATAAACTATTATTTGTGTTTTTCTCAATCCTGCTGATGATTTGAAATTTCAACCTGTGCCTGCGATTTTTGAGAAACAGAACTGTCTTAAGACCATCATTCCATTCTGACACATACTTAAGAAAGAAATCACAAACAACATTTGATGTGCTTAGAAAGTCAAATATAATCAATTGCAAGACCTTTTCTATCCACAGTGACTGTTAAACTAGCAGTATTGACCATCTGAGAGTTAATTACTCGCGCAAAGAGATGACTATGTGTGTTTTTCTCTTTTGAATGGCTGAAAGAAATAAACAATGATTTATTTCTTTCTTTGTTGTTTTGGAGCAAAGTCACATTGGGCTATCTACTGTGCTTACCGGATTTTAGCGTTGTAAGTCCGTTAACTTTCCGCTGTCTCACTGAGAAACAACAATAATTTATTTTCAGGCACATTGTACTGCTGTATGTTAAGAGTAAAAAAATAACACATTGGGCACATTGAATGATACTATATTACTAATGTTTAACGAGGAACTTATAGAACTCAATAATTAATTAAAAAATAATATCAACAGCGTTTACATAAACTCTTGAATTCATCTGTCTTTTTGAATGTAACTTTTACCTGATGGTGACCCGTTGTAATAATTAAAACCAGAACTTGTATAATGTAAAAGTTGCTAGTATTGTACTTTAGAACTAAAACTCCTTATTAGTTGTTTCAGTTGACTAGTGTCGGTTACAGTTACCATCGTCATGACTTGCGAATAGTGTGTTAGGTTAGCCTATATTCAGGATCTTACATTAATTATGGTAAAACTCGGAAGTTATTGTTTATTTTATTTTAACGATAATATGGATCTATTTACTTTGCATTTTTTGAATGTCATTATTGTTAAGCGCTTTACCCACTCCAGGTATCGAAACCAGTTTTTTAATGTTATAAGTCCTCAAACATACCATTGAGCCACCGACGGGCCTATTTTGAAGAATGAATCTTTTTTTTTTCAGAAAAAAAGATTTTGCATTTTAGTATTTAATTATCTGCCTCAATAACAACATTATTCAATATTCCAATATATTTTATCACATATATTTATGTATTAGTACAAGAGGTGAAAACAAAACAGGAAATTTTCTTATTATCGCTAAGGATGGATTATTACAAATGAAAAAAAATATTCAAAAATAGTTTTGTACTTTAACCATCATTGAAATTGTAATCAGCATATCTCAATAAAGCTTCACATTTAAATTATATTTATTGAAAAGCCATTACACTATACCATTTAACGAAGCTTTTTTGAGTTTGTTTGTTTTGAATTTCGCGCAAAGCTACACGAAGGTTATCTGCGCTAGCCGTCCCTAATTTAGCAGTGTAAGACTAGAGGGAAGGCAGCTAGTCATCACCACCCACCGCCAACTCTTGGGCTACTCTTTTACCAACGAATAGTGGGATTGACCGTCACATGATAACGCCCCCACGGCTGAAAGGGCGAGCATGTTTGGTGTGATGGGGATTTGAACCCGCGACCCTCAGATTGCGAGTCGAGTACCCTAACCACCTGGCCATCTTTTTTGAGTTAAACATTTTAGTTATAATTCAGTTATAGCTTTAGCACAGAATTTTCATACGATCTTTATATGTCTCTAATCCTCGCCGATTATTTGTAAGTATCATATTGTTAAATAGTTCATATTTTTAAGTGTCATACTGGTAAATAGTTACATCCAGAATAATTTCGGATGCTAGAACATTTCTTTTTTATCTTAAAAATGTTTGCAAATCTGACAATCACTAAGAAAAGTAGGGAAACGTTAAATATTACTTTTTTTATATTTGACGTTTAACGATAATGCTTAAAACTTCATTACATCTCGTTAGCCCTTGGCAATTTACAATGTTTTATTTAAGATTACTCATTAACCCATACTATTTAACATAAAAAATTGTTTTAAATGTGCAAAGTAATTCGTATGAATTGTAATAAAGATATATACTCCCTTTCACTGCTGATTAAAAAACTTATCTGAGGAAACCTAATAAATATTCATAAATCTGTAGAAAATGAGATGCGATGGTAAAGTCATAAAGTTAAGATTGAGTTAAGGGTGAAAAGGAGCAAAGTGTACGTTGAAGAAGCTAACACGCAGTGTTCTGAATAACAAGATAACAGGGAACTGAAAAACGTACTGAGGGAATAAGAAGACAAAAGTCGGAACCGTTTGTTTGTTTGTTATAGATTTCGTGTAAAGCTACATAAGGGCTATCTGCGCTAAGCGCCCCTAATTTAGCAGTGTAAGACTAGAGGAAAGGCAGCTAGTCATCACCACCC